GACGAATACACACGCCGTAATCTTAAAAGTCGTATCTTCAGCCTCTACGGTACAAGAACTCTAGTAGATCATCATGAAATTATGGTCTTTAACTTGGAATGTTGTATTTACGGCTTATTTAACAACGATATTTGTAATCTAAAGTGCATTACGTCGAATGATGGAACGAGTAATGAACAATAAATTGTAAAATACTTTGAAAGAAAGGACTACGGCCTAGTTTCCGGTACTATCACAGAATGTGCCTGAAAGAAATAAATAAAACCACGAAAAACTTATGCCAGGACAACCGGTCTCGGACCTACATCGAATAGATTGTAGGAATGAGATTATTTAATTCTAGAGGCAGGTTAGAAGCATTAACGCGAAATTTGCACGAGCTTTTCTTGTACGTAAATAATTTATATTTCGAGTCTAACAACTTGAAATTGTTTACCAACCACAATCTTTCACATACGCAAACACATAGCTAAATTCCTTTCTGATTTACCATTCCTGGTAAACCTGGTAATGGAGATGTCCAACTAACTAACTACCTAGATGCCTTGCGGAACCCGAAGGTTCATCACAGAACTAACCAAAGCCCTCCATCGGTCCCTGTCCTGGGCCAACAAAATCCAGTCTCCTTCAACTCCTATCTCCCATAGATCCCGCCTGACATTATCCTCCCATCTACGTCTAGGTCTCCCCAGTGGTCTCTTCCCCTCAGGCTTCCTAACCAATACCCGGTGCACACCTCTTGTCCCATCCATGCGCGCTACATGCCCAGCCCATCTCATTCTTCTAGACTTAATCACCCTGACAATACTGGCGGAGGAGTACAGATTTTTAAGTTCGTCATTATGCAGTTTTCTCCATACCATATCGTCTTCTCAAACACCTTCAATCTGTGTTTCTCCCTCAGAGTGAGGGACCATGTTTCGCACCCATACAAAACAACAGGCAAAATTATTGTTTTGTAAACTTTAGTTTTCAGATTGGAGATGTCCAACAACTTGAACAATTTAACGACGCATTCGCTGAAAGTTCTGCTTCGTTGCTCTGCCACTCGAAGCAAAGTCTGTGATGGCAAATAATTTCTATTCAGTTTTAATTTGAAATTTGCTCGCTGCAGGCGCCCCAAGCGCGGAACCATGGTCAGGAACTCGTGATGCGACTTCGGAAGGGTGCACGTGCACTCAGAGGAGCGACTTGACGACATTACTGCGTCTGCGCTACTTACAGGAAACGGAAAATGCTTTTAATAGGCAGAATTTTCTCTTCTCCAGTTTTTCCGGTGCGCGTCTTCTGACGTGTTCTAATTCAGAAGCAAGTGCGAATCCTTGAAGCCACTCGGCAGGACTCCTTTGACAAGGGGAATATATCCACTTGCACGAGACAGCAGTCAAAAACGCGAGTTGGAACACGTCACTCTGTGTCTGGTTGGATGATCGTTCACCTCTGCTTAGGCATGTGAACGTGAGGCCGGCAGTCAAGCTAGTCGGCTTTGGCTCTCTGGAGCTGTTATGCCACGGATTTAATTTTTAATGTATGTAGTTGCATGTGCCTGTGATTTAATTTCTGCATGTTTAAATTTGTTTGAAGTGTTCATTTCTGTGAATTATAGGTCAGAAGCAGTACAAGAGCAGGCAGGCCACGATCCATCGGCCGTCCTCCTCAACTCCCAACAGCAACTTTCAGAGGATAACGATGACAGTGTTGTGAATGATGAGGGCTTAGATCTGCACTTGGTTGCGGTTCTGTTAATTGTGATATGTACATATAACGGCAACCCAAGTTTGAAATTGTACTTTTGAGATTTATGTGAAGAAAAGCTTTTTCAGTGCAGTGCAGTGCAAGTAACGGTGGATTTTCCGGAGTACATGCATTTATTTTTAAGTGATTAATAATCTGATTGTATTCAAGGGCATTTTTTCACATTTGCAAATTGCTTGCAAATCAGAAATTTTAATGTTACTAAAATTGCATCCTCAGTCATTTGTTTTTTGTGTAGGTGACATGTTCATGGTTTTTTCTATATATATTTTTGGGCCCTTCCAATGTAATTGTTTCATGTTTGAATAATAAAAGCGCATTAAATGTTTTAGTATTTAAACAGTACAGAACCATTGATACTGACACGGTATACCTAATTTTTAATACTGAAAAGAAAATGGGTTGTTGCTATATTGCCAGTGAGGTTGGCAAAATGAGAAACAAAATAGAGTACAGTAATAAGCAGTTTTCTCTCCGCCCTTCTTCTTCTTCTTCTACGGCTCTCCGGTCCGTATTCGGTCCATGGCCTCCTCATTTCTCCTCTGTTAGGTCCGTCCGTTCGAGGCTTTGATCGAGGTTTCGAAATATCTTCCTTTTTACTGTGCAAGGTTGTTAGCCTTGCGACCAACCCCCAACCTGGAGGACCAGGGTACCTCTCCCCCTCGGCCAATCTGGCTAGGGAGGCAATACCAGTGGCTCTTGGGGTCAAGCCCCACCACCACGACAAGGTGCAGGTACCATTAAGTGTTTCTCTCTGTCCAGGGGCGTAAATAAGGAGATTTGTTAAGGAACTTCATATTACGCAAATGTTTACCTTGTAATGAGAATGTATTTTTGGCCATTCATGGTGCATTGGCAAGGAACTGTTATTGCTCTGAGGGCAGTAGTGAAGAAAAAAGGAAGTATGAGAAGAAGCGTAATTCACTTATTAATGGCAATCCTTGCTTCAGATGATCCACTACTGTGGAAGGAGTCTTGAGAGAGATAACTCGACTCACTAATTCTTAAAAGAATTTTTGCGTTCCGACCTCAAATAAATCCACTCCACTTAAAAATGAACTATACAGAAAGTGAAGATGACTTCTGAAATGTTGTAATGTAATCTGGTAGTTTACTGGCATTTCAGAGGCGTCGACAAACTTCTACCAAACTATACGATGCAGCATCCCAGAAGACAGCCATCTTCATACTGACTACCATGAGAACTTGATGTCTCACGCATTTATCCTTCTTTCTTTTCCTGTCTTGATGTCTTAATCATAACTCAGCTGCACAAACAGATTAATAAACAATATGCAGTGTACACACTGTTTAATATAAAATTCTCATCTAGTAATAAAGTTTCTAGTGTAAGAGTAATGTGTGAATGTAAGATAAAATAAACATTAATAAAAATTTGCTGACATTCCTTAAATTTACTTTCACATTTCCTTCCCAAAGTAACGTATACTTAAAATCTGATAAATATGAAGTTCAGGTTTCCCTGACTTAGAGTGAACAAAAATGTCCATGTTTGTTTTCCTGTAACAAGTGAGTGGAAAACCTCTTTGATGATCTCTCACTTCGTCCCCATGGTTTCCATTTTGAGTTACGCTTCTAACAGGAGTTGTGGTGGTCTTAACATAATGCGACTTGCACTCGGGGGAAAAAATAACTTAAGACTTTTGATGCTACTTATAAATGAGACATTAATTCCAGCTTATATACACATGTGACATGAATTTATTCATTTGTGAAAATCAAGATGTGACTACACAAACACTAATGATAAGATTTCTTCTTGTGCATTTTCTTTTTGGAAGGTTTCTCAAACAGTTCTTCGTCAGTTGGCAAGGAAAAACGATATAACTCTAGCAACTTGGAACGTGGGAACCATGCTAAGACCAGGAAAGATGAATGAAATAGGAAACGAAATTGTTAAATATAAACTGGATGTAGTAGCACTCCAAGAAATAGGATGGCAAGGACGAGGTCATATAGATAAAGAAGCATACTTTGCTGCTGGAAATGCTTGTAGCCGTGTGAACGAACGTCTAATCGGCACAATTTCAAATTATCTTTCTGAAGAGGCTGAGGACGCCGTAGACGGGTTGTCGTAGTCAGGATCTGATTTTAACCAAACGACGTTGGCATCGCAGCGTTTTCCGACTTTCGTGTGGCGCCGACCCCTAGCAAAATGAAGAACGTAGACCACACCCTCAAACATGATTTCCTTAAGATCGGTTTTAATATTGTCGTGCCATCTGCGTGTAGGTCTGATAGAATGGTTTCTTCCCTTGTGGCTGTCCATCAAAACTCTACACGCATTTGTCATCCCCCAATGAAAGCAGGCCCGATGGAGAAATATGTATTGACGGGGCGGATATAATGCTATGCTTTGTTCTTTGTGGTAACCTGCATAAGAATTCGCCTAATAAATTAACATCGCTAGAAGAGACAAGTACATTATTGGTTTCATTCAATACCGTTCCGATTAATTAAGCGTGTGGAAGTTCTGATTATGTAAATGGGCATCTTCTGGTGGCAGGACCGGTGTTTAAAGCTGTCAAGTTACAACGTTTTGCATGCTAGTATTTACGTAGCTTCACAGATCAATTTAATGCTTCAGATGCAATTACTGAAATGGTCACATCACTATTTTCTGTCGCGCAGATTTATACAGATCTTTCCAGAACTGTAGTCGGTGTTTATTGAGGTCGTGCTGCAAGCTCAGCTCCTGGTCAATATTCAGGTACGAGTGTTCATCGACGGTGTACGGTGCCCACGTGACATTCAGCAGTGGGTCTTCGGCTGGCGAGGGGTTCCTGAAAGTGCAAACTACTTATTACTTTACAAGCATGAACTGTGTAAAAGACGTTTTGAAGACTGGTGAATTCGTAAAGATGCCTGTCGTCTAGGTTTTAACACCGTGTGGATATTGACCGACGCTACAGAGGAACTTACTGACTTCATCAACCAGTGTGGTTTCTGTGGGGTGAATAGCTGCAGACTTGTCGGAGGAGATTTTGAGCAGGTTCGGCCTGGAAACTAACAGCAGGAAGGTTTATTCTCTGAGTCTGCGCTTTCAGTGCCGTCCGCAAAAGATTGCTAGTAAACGCTGAGAAAGAACTAAAAGATCGGCAAATAATTTTTCTCAGTTTGCGGAACTGTCTGTGACAATCACAGAACCACGAGAATTCAAACTCTCAGAGATGCACCTTGCGTTTTTCGTCCGGGTACGAGGGAGGGCTCTGCAGTCAACGAAGTGGCCGAGGCATGAAGATGCCCCCCTCTTCATTGCCTAGGACGCAGAGTTTACCTCCTTCACGTGTCTCCGGCGCAAGTCCAACCTCAAATTTGCTGTTCTTACTTTCCCAGTTTTGGCGAAATTTGTCCACATTTTAACCATTCTGTCCTGAGTCACCACGGAAGGGTCGTTGGATCCCAGAACGTTCGGACTCGGTGACAGCGCGTAGTTAAACAGGTATCCCAATTCGTCCCCGTGCGTTGTCCCTAAAGAAGTAGCAGAAACGAGAGGTAACGACTGCCTTTTGGGAAGATGTTTTCAGAACGCTCTGTAGCCTCATCTTTTCTCTCCTTCAGAAGCAAAACACTTTTTGGAATAATGAAAACTCGATGGAACTTACCCGGTAGATTTTCGACGTCTAGACGCTTCTTCATTCTTCCGAAAGCTCCGCTGAATGAGAACTCGTAATAGTAAACTGGCGAGGTGGAAACCGCTGTTATCTGTTCGACTGCGTCGTTGACATCCTTCACGAACCAAACATCCGAAATCATCTGTGAAATAAGAACGCGCAATGAGCATGGAGTTTACTTTCTTTGCGACACTGATTCAGCTCGATCTTGAATGGAACACAAGTCTGAGCCAGTGCAGTGATGGTTCCCCGGAACAAAGTCCAAATGATGGCTGTCATCTGGGCTGTTGTGCCGTGGTTGAAGTTTACTGACGTTTCAGAGGCGCTACCTGCCTCCATCATCAGGGCGATTGCTCTTCTGACACGTCGATAAGCGTGTATCACACATCAGCCCGGAAGAAAGCCGTCTTTAGACTCGCCGAATTGAGAATCTAAAATGCCATTATTTGCGAGCAACGAACTTCCAGCGAGACAAAACTCGTATAATGCACTTGAAAATATTACAGAGGAAATGTACGACGTTACGCGTGATTTCGTTCGGGTTCTAGGCTTATTAAGTTTCGATTGTGGTTTTCCGCTTGCTTGTTAGTCACGAAGGGCCGCCATCTTGCCTTCAGGAAAAATGATTCAAGGCGCCACTGCGGTGACCCCTCGAAACTTCATTAGTCAGTAAATCACTTCCTTTTCTCATCTGACAAGTCTACGAAAAAGAAAATATATTTAAAAACTCTGTTATTCTGGGCGTTAATTGAAGAAATTGAATACGCTGAATAATATGTTTTTAATATGTTGGTAACATTCTCGGTAAAAGTTTAATTTTCGTCGCCTCCTGTAACGCAGTTATTGAATGTTCGGTTTTTATTAAAGATGAAGTTATTTTAACAATTTAACAGCTGTTAGCTTCGGAGGAGCGAATCTCCTGCGTGGAGATGTTTAATGCAATTTTATCACTTCATCGTGTAATTGTTTCTTACTTACATCAACGAAACGTAGAAAAGTTTCTTCAGATACATGTTGATCTCCGAAATAAAACTTCCTGATCATATCAGAAATTTCATGTGATTTGCTTGTATTTCTGGCCACCGGAAAGTCCTCGGGAATAGCTCGTTCGAATTCCTTGTCCAGCGAGTCCAGGGCGTATGAGTTTTGTCGCAAGACTGCAAACGAAATAGCATTTCCTGTTAAAAGTGCGTGCGCATTTGTTAAGGCTGTTCTACCTAAATACGGAAAGAAACAAAATTTGCCCTCGGCTCTGCTGAGGCCTTCGTCAGCAGAGACGAGGGGTCAGTCGCTCGTTTCTGAGGCTGAGTGAGAATCTCGTACCTGAGGAGAAGACGGGGTCCGGAGGTTTCTGACTCGTGCTTTATTAAATGACAGGCGTCTTGGAGGTCAATTAATTAAAATAACGTGTCCAAGGCTGCAATGCGTCCGTCCTCAGGTATGACGTACTATGAAGGGCGAAACACATGGAAATTGTTCCTCATGGCTGAGGACGGGAACAAATTCGTCTCTCAGACGTCGTTTTAAATTACAATTTCGAGAATATTCTGGAAAGTACTAAGATAAAGGAAGTAGAAGGCTCAAAAGATTTTGTTATGCGCCCCAGATATTATGAGGGTCTTCAGGCGAAGGAGGTCGAGATGAGCGGAGCATGTAGCAAGCATAGGAGAAACCACAAATACATACAACATTTTGGACGGAACAACTTCTTGCACAGACACAGGCACACATATTTTATGAAGAAATGGCGCGTGGGTGCGGACTGGATTAATCTGGCTCAGTATACGAACCACTGACAGCATTTTGTGCATCTCCGGGTTCTTGGCCAGGTGAGCGACTGTTAACTTGTCAAGAAGTTTTCTCCTTTCTGGAGTTTATTAGTTCCAAGCTGTGTTCATTTCTGTCTGATAATTGGATAAGTGTAAATTTGCTTTTCATTGTGAAATTACCAAATCTGCCTTGAGATAATTTTAGGCACGTAATTTGCATTCCTTGTGTCTAAAAAACTGCAGCACAGGTTCAGAATTATCTTGAATATGGGGGAAAAGAACAACAAGTTATATATACAGTAGATTCCGGTTATTTGGGACGTATCTTAAATCTTAAAGAACAAATATTTTAACTCTACGTGGAACTTCGCATAATTGGGGCCGCCGCTTAATTGGGCCCAAGTGTTCTAGTCCCGATGTGTCCCAATTAAATATTATCCGCTGTGTATATATATATATATATCCTCTGGTACACACTGAGTACATTGTCGGTGTACAAACTGCATGACTCTCCTTTCCACCGCGCGCAGATTGGCTCTGAAGTCAACCCACCGTTCTATCCACTGGGTACCCGAGACGTTTCCTGGTGGTAAGGCGGACGGAGCGTGTATCTCTTGCTACTGACATTCGTCTAATGCCGGGGTTAAGAATATGCGGAGGTTTTCCTCCGATTTCCATACGCCGCAATGTCTTTCTGCTTCATTCATTACAGAGAGAATTTAACCTTCGCGTGCAGCGTGCTGGCTGCCACTGCTAGTAGAAACATTCGTTAAGAGTAAGACAGACGTAAGAGAGTCTCTCGACTTACTGTGGCGAGCCAACAAGCCTTCGAGAGAAGTGACCCCCGCAATCAGAGGCACAGCTGCGAATTTCCCGGAGTCCAGCATTTCTCTCGGAGGAGCCGGAAGAAATATTTCTTCTTCGCCGGACTCGGTGTCGCTCGTGGGCAGGAACGGGAATCCGAAGAGCAACGGCCTTTCCTGGAGTTTTAACACCAACAGACGCAAATATTACTGGCTTTGCACGAAGGACAACAATTATCGCGCCAGGATCAGAGTTTCTCTGCTTCGAAGAGGAGATTACGGAAACGAAGGCCTCGACACTGGGTTCGACTCCTGACAAGAAGAATGGTTTTTGTTGACAGGAACGCAACCGCGGTAAGAGAACGACGCCAAGGCAAAATTCTTTCGTTTCGGAGAGGAAATTACAGGATCTAAGGTCACAGACCCGAGTCTCTCTTAAGAAAACACCATTCCTGCGTAAGGAACGCATTGCTGGAAATGGTAAACAGAGCCTCATAATTTAAACGAGGGTTTGGTCAGGGCGAAAGCCTTGATGGTCTGCGAATTGGGCTAGGGGGGGAGGTTCACGTCAGCTGAAGGACTCAATGATTTGGGGTTGGCGGGCCGTCCTCCTTTTGATTTGTGCCCTTGTATTTGCCTTAACTGAGGAAAAGTTCGGAAAACCTCATCATCCCCAAATTTCTACTAGCGCCAAGTAAAACTTCAGTGTTTTGACGTAAATACGTCTATATTTTAGGGTCAGTGTCATTCGGCAAAAATGTAACGAAAAAGGAAAACGAAAAAGTGTAACTTCATTGTTATGTTACCTGGGAAACGTCATCTCTTTATCAACAAATAAACAACAATGGTTACCTACATAGTTACCTTACATTACATTTCATTACTTTACATTACATTCAGCTACCACAGAGCCATCTTAAGCGTAACTAATGTAGTTAAATAAGCAAAGCATGTATAAAGGAAATATTTAGAATAAAGCCAATTTTTTTGTGTCTTATTGTAGGACCACTGCCACCGGGTAAAAATCCAGTTGCAGTCAAATAAATAATAATAAAATAAATATAAACTTCCTTTCCGTAAAGACGTATTTACGTCAAATTCTCCGGAACCGTGGTTCCACTGACAACTTTTTCTTTATCGAAATAGTCGTTACCAAATTAAATTTCAGATGTTTCTAGTCTAAATAAATAATATCTCGGATCCATCAAAAAGTTTTTCCGGCGCTCTTGATCAAAACAGGATCAAGAAACATTGACCTTCTACGATTTTAATTACCAGAAACAGAATTTACGTTCCCTCAATATGACGCCAGCAGTTAATATGAATATTTCATACTTGTCAGTTGGTTCCTCATCGTTTAAAAGAGAAAAGCAACAAGCGACTTTGGCTACTGTTACGCACTGAACTCAACTTCTTAGTTTTCACGACACTTCGTGCATGAACCATCAGCTTTAGCAACTTTAACGCTGCATTCCGTATTTATGGGTTGCACTGCAAGCAGTATGGAACAGGGGAACCGCAGAGACCACGTGTGTCGGCAGACGTAGAAGGCCCACTCCGGGAGCCAATGGCATCTTTGGCCGGGGGAGAGAACGCCGTAGTGGAAAGAACGATGATAACGAATTGCAAAAATCACAAGCAGACTTGCGAGCTACAATTTGGGACGCTTTGCTAGAAGATAGAAAGGAGAGGGAGAGACTCAGGCAGGAGGACGGAGATACGAATGAGGGTATTGTAAATCGTATAGAATCAACTGCAGACAGATTATCCAGAGAAATGGCGAGTCTTAGAGAAGGTACCCGACGTGAAATTAAACTTGTAAAGGAGAAAGTTGAGAAAATGTTTGCCAGAGTGAATGAGCAGATGCGAGAGACCATGGCGGAAACCAGGCGAATTAATGAACAAACGAACAGAAAATAGTCGAGCATAGGCAAGATGTAGACAGTGAGTTAGAAGCTTTTCGGCAGGAATTGCAAAATTTTAGAAAGGAGATGGAAATTATCCCCGTCACTGCAAGTGAGGACGAGGCTAATTTACGTAGACTGCGAGATCGTGTGGACCCTGCGGAGAAGGATAGTCTATCCAAGATAGAGGAAGTAACGTCTAGATTAGGCAAAATGGAGGAGAAATTATCAGGTGCTCGTAGACGTTCGGACCAGCCAACTACCAGTGAGAAAGACAGGCCCTCTAGTGACAATTCAGATGGTTTAGTTCCCGGGACCTCAACCCAATCAGTAACGCCTGTTTGCAGAGAGAACGCGAAGTGAGAATAAGTACATGTCGGATGGGCCTGTAGATTGTAGCAGCGACAATACAACTACTACGCAGGGATTGGTTAAGCAAGGCCCGTCGCAGT